GCTGGATCTGCTGAGGATTTTCTGTATGCTCCTTGGTGATGCCAGAATTCTGGTCATGTGTGCACACAGTGCTGCTCTTTCAAAAAAAAAGGGGAAGGGGCCAATGTTGGGGTGTGGCAGGTTGAGCCGCCGTGTGGGATACTGGCATCCCACATCAGAGCACGGGTTTGAATTCCAGCTGCTCCACTTCTGATCCAGCTCCCTGCTAATGCGCCTGGGAAGGTAGTGGAACATGGCCCAAGTGCTTGGGTGCCTGCCACCCACGTGGGAGATCCGGATGGAGTTCCTGGCTCGAGGCTTCCGCCTGGCCCAGCCGTGGCTGTTGCGGCCATTTAGAGAGTGAATCAGCAGATGGGAGATCTCTCTCTCCTTCTCTGTCACTCTGCCTTTCAAATAAATAAGTACAGATCTTTAAGAATAAATAGGAAAGAAAACCAAACTTTTAATGATTCCCTGTTATCTACAGGGTCAAATCCAGCTCTTGAATGTGTTTCTTTCTTTTTTTTTTCTTTTTTTTGGGGGGGGGCAGGTAGAGTTATAGACAGTGAGAGAGAGAGAGAGAGAGAGAGAGAGAGAGAGAAAGGTCTTCCTTCCGTTGGTTCACCCCCCAAATGATCGCTACGGCCAGAACTGTGCCGATCTGAAGCCAGGAGCCAGGTGCTTCCTCCTGGTCTCCCATACTGGCAGACGCCCAAGCACTTGGGCCATCCTCCACTGCCCTCCCGGGCCACAGCAGAGAGCTGGACTGGAAGAGGAGCAACCAGGACTAGAACCTGGTTCCCATATGGGATGCCGGCGCCACAGGCAGAAGATTAACCAAGTGAGCCACAGTGCCAGTCCCTTGAATGTGCTTCTAAGTCCTCTATGTACCTACTGGGATTTATGGGTGACTATGCACTCCCTCCCCTAAGGTATGTATGTGCGCACGCACACACACACAGCACAGACACTGGAGCGTGACCTCCCCTCGCATCCCCTCCACACCTCCTGCTGGAGCAATCTATCTCTCCCTCCTTATCTCTTAGCAAACTCCTGATCTCGATGTAAATGCCTCCTCCTCCACGGAGCCTTCTTTGCTTTCCAGCTTCCTCCCCCAAGCTCCCTCATGGAGACATTTACAGCACTGGGTCGATGAGCGAGCCTGGGGTTCCTGGATAAGGACCCGGTTGGTACTGTCACTCCTGGGTTCCTATGGCTTGGAACTTGGGAGATGCAGGGGGAATGGGGGTCTTCACTGACAAGGGGACACAGGAGGAGGGGGCAGTTTTGCAGGGGACAGTGGGGCAGTGGACTTAGGTCTGGTTTGCAACAGTAAAGAAAGGGGGGAGTTGGAAGGTCACAGGTCTGCAGGGGCCAGGCGGGCACCGGATCTGAGTGGGTCTAGCTTCATTTTTTACCTTCTGATATTATTAACATTTGCTATTGGCAGAGATAAATATTTTTTCTCCCATGAGGAAAACAACAGGGGCCAGCATTGTGGCACAGCAGGTTCAGCCCCTGCCTGTGATGCCGGCATCCCATATGAGCACTGGTTCGAGTCCCAGCTGCTCTGCTTCCAAT